TATTAAAAACAAATAAATATATGTGATTATTAATTATTTTTATCAATAAAATAAAATAAAATAAAATAAATATTTTACAATTTTTGGTGGCCTTAACATTATGAGTAGCGACAATTTCAAAAAAAAAAAGAAAAATAATTCAAAAATAATCTTTTTGTACAATTTTATATATCATTTAAATTATTAGTTATTTTTATTCATTTGAAATTTATGATATTAAATACATTCATTATTTAACAACACATAAAAATTGTATAAAAAATTATTTAAAAAAATATCCCTATATTATTACCCAAAAAAATAACAATAATCCTTCCCCAAATTTCAGCTACCTAGAGAAAATAAACATGTGATTCAGAATGTAAAAAATACTTAAAACAAGATCATTGATTATCCAGCATGTTATTCCGACTGCGCTAAGAAAGTCAACATTATCTGCTGTCTTTTTGTTGTTTGACTATTTAAAGGGTAAAGCTAAAAACCCAAAATACATATTCCAATTCCAACCTTCTTGATTCGTTGGGACCTGACCAATCCAACCCCATTGTAAATCAATCATGTGCTTTGGGTTTTCGTTCACTCAAGTGAGAAAGCGAATGAATTCTATGGGCAGATGCTTGAATACCAATAAATTAGTGGGGCAGGCTTAGAAGTAAGATCCAAATCAGAAACATCTCTTGAATTGAATATATTCCTAGTGTTTTTGGTCATGGAATTTGATTTCTACAACATTCCCCCATTTGGACACGTTCAGCAGAGAAAAGTATGTACAATTTGTGCTTCCAGATTAATACAATAAGTTCAAAGGTAAAATACCAGTGAAAAAGGAACTTAATACCAGTATAGAGTTGTCTTTTGCTCTTCATAGTGCCTGCCAAGATGAAAGAACTACCCTTCTTCTATGCATCCTTCTTTTTTGGGACTCCGGCGGTGTATAAAATAATCGGTGTGTACAGCCAAACCAACATGGGAACCAACTAATGGGAAGTCATTGGTGCTTAATGGGTTATGTGAGAGATTTGCCAGCCCATTCTCGTTCTCTTCGCTTTTGCTTGGCTTGCATCCGGTTGAATTTTTCCTTTCCTTTCTCCAAAAGAGGGTCAACCACAACGAAGTCGTTTGGGTCATCCTTGCGAGACATACCATCCTGCATGACATTCATAGGAAATTTTGTTCAGATGAAGATGTTACAGAAGTGTCATACTCTCAAGTCACAAACTGAAACAGTCCAATCATCTCAGTGAGTTTATATTTAGGGATGTATCAGTTTGTGCTACTTTCAGGATCACTTATATATGATCCAATTTCAAGCATTTGCTATTCTTATCATGATTTTTGTTGTTGTCATTAGTATTAAATTCAAATTGAAGCCTAAGTTCAAATATAAAGTTCGTTTTACTAGAACAGAATTGTTTTACATCCACAATGCTCACAAAGTGCTCATGAATAATCAACAACATTATTCTGCCAAAAAGAGGAACTAACCTTGATATCAGGAGCAAACTTTAACCGAGCTGATGCCCAATCCGACAAGTCCTCCCTATGACCACCTCCAGACTCATCATTTGAGGCAACTGGTTTTGCAGAAACCGACTGCTTGAACTTCTCAAGTTTTGCTAAAACCTAATGGTAAGAGAACACCAAGCAAAAAGTAGAAAGTAAATAAAAATGACTACATGCCACCTTTCAATCCGAGTAGGTCATAAGAACACATTTTACAACAGAAAGAGGATGCAGTTAGAAATTAGAAAGAAAATTTTCCTCAAATGTCTATCCCTTTTCTTTTCATTTTTCCAAAACCCTTTTTCCTCTAGTTATAGACATGCCAGTTCTAATTATTCCCTAAGAACTACATATTCTTATAGTTCAACAAGATGGATCACTTATGATGCTACCATTGCAAGGTAAAGAAAGAGGAAATAACTTAAGGTAAGGAAGAAGTGAGATTTCTTGTCACATACATCATCTTCTCGTCCTTGAATTCTGCGCTTCTTCTGCTTTTGTAATAATCTTCCTCGCTCAGCGGCACCCAGCAGCTGCAAGTCTGCATCTGACTTAGCCATGAGCTCAGATCTAGCTTCTGAACCTATACCCTTCTTCTTTAGGGACAGCTTTTCAACTCTTGTTTGGTCATTGGCAAAGCTTTCAGAATGAGAACTGTTGAGAAGAGAACCACAAAATGATTGACTCGTAAATGCAAACAAGATAAATTAAGCAGCAGCAGGCATCCCAACATGCAGATGGTGATAACATATCAAAGGAAACATGAAGAAATAGAAACACAAAAGAGTATTGAAAGGTAAGAAAAACCTTGGTGCAGAAATGTCTATGTCCTTTGATTTAGAGCCCCCTGCACACGAGGAACATAATGGTAAAATTATTAACTATATAGGAACCATTAAGAAATTTGTATAACAAATGGAATGATCAATAAATGACAGGAAGTAAATCACAAACAATGGATAATTGATATTGATGCACTCTCTAGTCTCTACTACTAACTTTCATGGGTTTTACTTGGGAAACAACAAGTGAAGTCTAATAAAGTAATTGAGAAGGCTCTAATTAATATGAGAAGGAGATAATAATGCAAAGAACTTCAATAGTACGCATTGGTATGTAATTTAACCTCTAAAATTGGAGGAATCCTCTTTACAAACAATTGTTTTCCTCCAATAATCTGCGATGGCATTACTGCATCAAATCAATCCTTTATGGAAAAACCTAGAACCTTTGCCTTCAAGCTATACACTAGATACTCTAGTCTCATCTCATCCCATCTAACTGCTTCTGGTTTATTTGGGTTCCATGGGGACAAGCACTATCAATAGGATCCTTGATTACTTTGAATTTTAAACTTCTTTTTTCCCAATACAAGAAAGAGGAAAGGAGGTCCTTATCAAACAGCTAATCATATGGAGATTATTCAATGTTATATCTGGGTGGGGTTGAACATAGTTCCCATACCATTTTGCATGTTTTGCTTAGTTGAGAGGCCTCCAAGCTCTTTCCGTCTATTAAGTATTTGTCGACGCATTCGTGCATCAAAACTGGCCTCATCACCATCATCATCATCACTAGGGTCAAGGGAATCAGACAATTCTGCTTTCACATCTTTCTCTGGCTCTTCTTTCTTTGAGCTTAGAGCTGCTCTAACAGATATCTGGACATCCTTACTTGTTTTGGCATCAGATGAATTCTGTACAAAAGAATTTGTCTTGATGATGATAATAACAACAACAACAAAAACAATAAAAGCAACAAAAAGAAACAAATAAAATATGGTATCCAATGATTAAACACTAACTCTTCATGAAATTATGAAGATAGCATATGAACATCAGTCATGCACATAAGACAAAAATTTCACTGTTAACCCATTGCACTTTATCTACTAGATGATTAATTGCATGTAAACTAGATAAAAGGGATTTCCAAGAATAGGGCACCATAAATTCTTCTACAGGCAACGTTTTTACCATTGTAAACCATGCATAAAAATGACTAAAAGCATGGTTTCACTACAGTGGTTTATTTTGCAGTTATGAGAAAAAAGAGGGCACCCATCAAGGTTGTGGAATTATACCGATTCTTGCTTCAGGAGACGAGGATCATCCAAAACATCATGACTGCTCTTAATCTTTTGCTTTACAGCCACCAATTCCTTCTCTTCCTCTTCAGCTTCTTCACCAAATGAGAGCAAGTTCAGCTTCCTGTGTTATCCAATTATAATGCATAAACCTTAGTAAAAGTGGTTCCAGCATGCTATAGAAAAGGATGCTGCTTATAGGGTGTACAATTATAATGGAAGGAAGCTTACTTCACAGCTTTCTTCTTTGAATCTTTGTTCTCAGTATCCGTTGCTGGTAGTGTCGAAGGCCTGGCAATTATTCTTGGAACTATATCTTCAAATGGGTTCCATAATACCTAAAACAGGGAGTTCAAGGACAAAGTTGCATACAAAATTTACCCAATCATGGTCAAAGCAACATTAACAACCAATATGCATTATCCAGTATGCTTCTCCAACTGAAATGTTGAACTTTGTACTTAATATGGTTCATGACTACAAAGATGGTTTGACATTCAAACATTTTAATAATTTCTATCATCTGAACACAATCAATGAAATGATCCTCATTATCACCAAAGCATCAAGAATATCGATTAGTATTTTTTCTCTACAGAACACAATTTGTTCAAACATAATGTAGAAAATCCTACCTCAACCGACTTGATTCGTGGAAGTGGATCCAATGGCCGATCATCCTTATCAGTGTCAACCTCTCCTATTCTCAGAAGATTAAAAATAGAATCCCCGGTCACCTGAAAACAACAAAATGAGTACTATAGCACTCAAACTTGGAAGGCAAAATTTTTAACCAAATCATGACTACCTTCCCAAAAATGGTATTTTTCCGATCAAGCCATTCACACTTATCCAAAGATATGAAGAACTGACTCCCATTAGAATGAGGGGAACCAGCATTTGCACATGCAACAATGCCTCTATGGTTGAATCTTAGCCGTGAATGGAACTCATCCGAAAATGGAGCTCCATAAATACTCTCTCCACCTACAAAATTTGATAATACAATAAACAATTATAATGGATACAAGAAGCATAGTAGAACCATAACTTCCAGTCAAAAAATAAAAGGAACAAGAACCAAAACTTCATCCAGAGAAATATATACACAATAAGAACAGCACGAACTTCCAAAGACATACTACATCAATCACCAAAAAAATCAGAGAACACTTGGTAATGACCCACTAATGGCAGAAGCAAAATTTTTCTAAGGGAAAAAAAAAAAGAAACCCGAAACTCAATCAGTTCTAATATCTCAGTCAAAATAACTTCGAGTAGCATGATAAAAACCATCAAAACGAGAGAAAGTGGGCAAGAGAAAGGCACCTGTGCCACTGCCGGTGGGGTCGCCGCCCTGGGCAAGGAAGCCCTTGATGATGCGGTGAAAGATGGTGTCATCGAAATAACCCTCGAGGCAGAGCTGCACGAAATTCCTGACGGCTTTCGGTGCCTCTTTTGGCCACAGCTCGATGTCGAGAGGGCCGTACGTCGTGTCCAGTATCACCTTCCCCTTCGTCGGAGGTTCTAGAATGTATACTGACGACATTCCCTAGTAATCGGAGTTCCAATTGCAGCGTCGGCGGTCGGACGGCTCCGATTTGGGGGAAAAACCCTTGCTTCTGAATTTTATTCCCAGAAGGCCTCGGTCGAGGCAAAACGACGTCGTTTCCTTCTCGAAATTTAATCCTCTCCAATTTAAGGCGGTAAATGGAAAAAAAAAAAAAACCAAAGAAAATAGAGATAAAAGTGAAAATTAATAAAGAAGATAAAATATAGAATTTTTTATTTTGTAATCCACGAAACAATTGGATCGAGGAGGAGGATGATGGCTTGTTCAAATTTAATAATTTATGTCGTTATACAGTATAAATTATATAATTTTTTATAAAAACATTTTAGATAATATGAAAAATTTTAGATTCACCAAAAAAAAAAAAAAGAAGTGAGTTTGAACTTTTGAGTCAATCACATATAGGAGACATATTTGTTTTCTATTATTACAGTTAATACCGTTGTAAGATAACTGAAAAAACGACTTGGTCAAATTGCCTAAAACAAGTTCATGGAGAT